TTATTTTCATGTTTTCAATAAGTTAATGAGAAAATTAAGCTGGTGAGTTTTTTTCATATTTTATAAGAAGATAAACTGGTTACCAGAAACGTTTTAGTATTCGTACAATTCAATTATTTAATGTATGCTGTGCATTTTCCCTTAACAACTTTGACATGTGTCAATCTGCACACATCTGATTTTGTCGCTATATTATTATGTCGTGTTCGGTAGTTTGTCGCTGTAACACGGTAATAGAGAAAGGCAATTATGGTATTACCTTATTCACAAGCGGTAGCCGTGATATCGTTAAAAGCGAGATGCCCGTGGAACATGTTTTTGTACTCAAAATAGTGAAGAATGTAGCAGTGTCTTTTTGGGAGAGGGGACTCACCGCGGTCATTTGCATAACTCTCGCTCTCAACGAGATCACGGCGGTCATTTGCATAACACTCGCTCTCAACAAGATCACGGCGGTCATTTGCATAATTCTCGCTCTCAACGAGATCACCGCGGTCATTTGCATAATTCTCGCTCTCAACGAGATCCCCGCGGTCATTTGCATAACTCTCGCTCTCAACGAGATCACGGCAGTCATTTGCATAACTCTCGCTCTCAACGAGATCACGGCGGTCATTTGCATAACTCTCGCTCTCAGCGAGATCACGGCGGTCATATGCATAACTCTCGCTCTCAGCGAGACTGAATATTGTGAAGAGTTCATTTCATCATCTCCAGCTCTCATGTTTTCATTTTATCTGTTAGAAAATTAAAAAAGAAATGCTCGATATATATTATCATACATTCTTTGCTCTCGTAAATATTTAAAAGGACTTGATGCCGTTTCTCCAAAGTAGAATTGTCAACAATTTCCTAATACGCCATTGATATGCGTCGCGGACTATAGTGACGGAGCGCTTTTGTGACGCCAAAACGACTTATGTGGTGTACGCAACGTCGTTCAAGTCAACAACTATGTTTAGTTGCGTATTTGTTTGTCATCTAGAATATAGGAAAACACCCCCAAAAATCAAATCTTCATTGAACGATGACGCGTCATTCATTTACGACACAGAACTACTCCATCGGCAGAGGGCGTTACATTTAAATATTTAGATCAACCAAACCCTGATCAGGAATAGCTTATTTTGAAATGTGTTTGTCATGGTTACTCAGTTATCATAATATAGAATAAGGAAGTGCTAGCTACTTTGTCCACGCCTTTCTATCAATATAATATTTTTAAAAATAGCAATTCTGTGTCATTTTATATTCAACATAATTATTGTTGAATTCGCGAACACGGATTCGTGTAATCGGCAAACACACCTACGGTGCATGTTCTACTAAGCACTTAGTAGTTATTTTAATCTGTTTCAAATAAAATAAAACATAAGTTGAACCATGGCTTGTTATTAACTACAATTATCTTGAATGATTTCCCGTATGCTCTGTTTGTCCGGTTACACGCGTGTTGTCCCCAAACGTTGCAATGCAGTAGCAATCCCACAACCTATTATGTAATAATGTTAGCTTGATTGATAACAGATCGAATCATTACGGAAATCTCCAATCTTTTTTCCATATATTTGGTCTATTAATTTCCTAAATCACGTGTTATGAACATCAATTACGTTTCAGCTTTAGCATATTTAATTCTATACGTGTTTGATGATTTGATACTGTACGCAAAAACGCATTCGTTCTACAACAACAAAAACGAATTGTTTACTAATCAGTGAAAGAAAACACGAGTAGCATAAAACGTATCAGGCAAAGGCGACGCTGTGGCGCAGCAATAAACCCAAATATCTCTAGAGAAATCTGTACTTTCGTGTTATTATACGATATTGCAATAACCATCTCTCTAGCCAGTTTCAATGATGTACATTGTACTTACACCGTAGGAGCTCTTACCCTCCACATTACTCTCTAGTTGAGACTATTATTACCTACATGCACTTATGAAATGGGTACAGCTACTAAAAAATGATGAACGCAAAAATAAATTGAACATTCCATTTTGTTTAATTTAAAAATGCCAGTTAGCTCCAGCTAATAATGGTGTGATTTATAGCATCAACAAACTACGCCTGGAGGAACCAAAGGTGACTGGAATTTGCATTGGTAGATGGATCGCTTGTGACACGTGTGCAAGGCAGTGTTGTTGCTTTCATAGCAACTAACGCGGCATCTGACACCGCCGTCTGGCAAAGGGGCAACGTCTTCGGTTATGAATGTTAATATTATTTTTAACCACCACCAATACTACTATTAACAATTTAATTCAGATAAACGCTATTCATTCGAACCATCCACATGCTATACATTGATTCAAAAACACATGGTAACGTTGGTATTAATAAAAAAAAATCATGCAATTTCCCGTTTTATGAATGTTACATTTTATGTTTGAATTGCAAGATTTTTTCCATAATATATTCTGTTTAATAACTCGGTTGTTGTCAATCACATTGTGAAATATTCAAATTAGAAAACAGAAAAAAATAGAGCGCTTCTGTGATGACCTTCCACTTGAACCCTCAATACCAACCGCTACGGCAGCAATTGCGAAGTGTCAATGATATGATCGTCGTGAGAAACAGATGTTATTACAAATACATCGTAGCGTATACACACAAATCGGGCATAATTACCCTACGAAACGCAGATGTGGTCGTTTATATTCACACTGAATTGTGAAGAGTGAATAGAATTGGTGGTGCTTTCTTGTATCTGGAATTCACGAAATAGACTCTGAAGTCACGTGGTCATTGCATGGACAATCTTTATTCTGCTCAATGCCACATTTGTTCCCACAAAAAATTACAACATTTTACAATTTTTTATGTTTACTTTTTTTTTTTTTATAATTTCTTCAACAAAATTGTCACTATAACATTCTGGGTAGTACAGGTTGAGAACGGAAGAAAAAATTGAAATGGAGATATTTTGTTAAATGTGACAAAAGTTGAATTTGGCTTTCAAAGGTTTAAAGGTAAAAATGTCATTTACAGTTCAAAGTGTCAATTAAATAGAAAAGTGGAGTATGTTTATTTGTATTATTTGCTCAAATGCATTATACTCATTTCCGAATTTACCGAATTGAATAAATAAATAACAGCATGCGGAAACTAGCATCACTCGGTGAAAAATTAACGTTGAGAATTAGTAGTAATGCAACGTACTTGCGCTATGCAATACTCTCATCAACGAGTGTTTGATATGAAATAAAAATTCTCAAAACGTTTTCACAAACATGCACCGACTCACCCCGGATATCCCCGGCTACCATTTTAGGAAAGAAATCAGCCAAGGGTTGATACCCCGGATATCCCCGGCTACCATATTAGAATCAAAATCAGCGAAGGGATGATACCCCGGATATCCCCGGCTACCATATTAGAATCGAAATCAGCGAAGGGATGATACCCCGGATATCCCCGGCTACCATATTGGAATCGAAATCAGCCAAGGGTTGATAAAAGAAGAGTTACAGGCCTATAGTGTGTAAATATAAAACAACGCTTGGGGGAACTTGAACGTTTGGGTTTATGTTTAGTTCTATTACAGACATTTCTCACCCACCAATCCAACTTTCCAGAGATTAAACACGGTTTCTATTTAGTAAGATTCCTTCTATGCTTTTAACTTCGTTTCAGAGGTGCGTACAAACTCAGCCTTAGGCACGCAGTACATCTGTGTATTTCAAAAATGCATTTAAATCATTATCCCTACGTTTAACGATAACTGATAATGATATCAGGTCAAGGGTTAAATTAGGCATCTATTGGAGGAGCGATGCTGTATAAACGCCTTCATTTAATCCTCATTGCAGCGCCGTACTGATTATTGTTTTTGATCTGCCCCTGGCGCGACGAGCGATGTGCAGATAACATCACACCGGATTTTAATTAGTTTTACCTGTGGCCAATGTTGCTGTGTACATTTACACATGTTCATATCCACCTATAAATAGATGGAGTCGACTCACACGCGTGTCCATGTAATGAACATGTGTAACTGTGAAACTCTTTTTGTTATGAGCAAACTTGAACGTCTGTTAAGTTATTTCTGCTACTTAAAGAATCAATTTGGAAAACAATATGTGTTGTTCCAGTAATTATGTTTTACTTTGCGTATTGATACTCTGGGCGTGAACCTAAAATCGTTAGTTCACTTTCATAATTAATAATGCACGTACCAGTAATTCAAGGCGCATGCGCGTTTGTGTAGTTCATTTAATCGTAGGATGAATCAAATTCAATGTTCAAATTGTTCCTAGTGCAAATTTGACAGTTATACACCATATATTTAAAGTTGTAACACGTACAACGTGAAATAAAAAACATCATGTTCTCCAACAGAAAAAAAATAATCAAAATAGATAACAAAATTGTAATTTGTTGTTATTTCCAGAATGACCTGAGTACAAAACGCGTGTCGGTTACGTTCTTCCCGAGGTGAGTTCTAATCAACGCTGATCGATATCTTGCAAAAATCGTGGACAAATTTCAACGTTGGTGGAGATAATACATATTTAGTGTTAGATATAGCATCCGATCTATATTTAGAACAGACCACATGATTGTATAACTCCGTGCCGTGATCACGTGACACGTTAATGAATAATGGAACACTGAACTCACGCCCCCTGACGTTGACGGATCGTCTACTTCCAAGACCTTACGCCGGCGCTCCATCAATCCATTCAGTTCAGTGAGACAGTCCCCTGTTCTTCGTAGTCGGATTAAGTTATGCGGATGCAAACGGCATATCAGATTGTTCTTCGTCGCCTAGGTGGAGTGTTAGCTCTTGGCTGTGAGTTTGCCGTACTCTGTTTGTACGGTACCGCCACGTAACGCTGCATGTCAGTGACCGTGTTACTGTTTTAACGTTAATGTCCTTTTTATATACTTGTTATTGCGATGGGTTCGACTGAGACGACAACTTTGTCACTAATACGAGTATTAGCGGTAATAACTGTCATTGGATGTGTGGACTCAACTGAATTTTCCAACATGTCACTTTCGACAAAACACGTTGCGAAGATTGAAGGGGATATTACCCTCGGTGGATTATTCATCGTACACGAGCGATCGGACAAATATACTTGCGGGGGAGTTAGACAGAATGGTATACAGGCACTGGAAATGATGCTGTACACCATCACAAAAATAAATAATGATTCCACTTTGTTACCCGGAATTGATTTAGGTAAGTGCTTTGTTTGTTTGTTTTCTTTTGTTTGTTTTTTGTCGACGAACGAAATAAAAATACCTATAACGGTATTTTGTTGGTCAGAGTCGCCTTTAAACTTTCTTGCTTTCTAGAAACTGTTTCATCTGATCGTGGTAGTTGCAGTAAGTCAGTTAAGTTCAGCGTTGGCAAAACAATATACGTACATCTCTAATAATTCAGGTGTACATCAACGAGTAAGTTACGCCAATCCGGTGTTGTCTCCAATACTATTTGGACAAGGAACATGTGTGAGAAGCGAGGCAAAGAAAAGGAGGATAAAGAGAACACAAAAATCCCCGCCACGCTATGGTGCTAACTAAAATGATGGTCTGTTTTATACGAGGCGTCGTTTTATTAAGTAATTCATTATACAGCACATTTTGTGACGAAATCATAAAATTATAATTGCTCGAATAATAAACACACTCGTCATTTTATGACCGAATTGTGACGTCGACATGTTGTATACTATTCATAACCAATTTTAATTACATGATGCAACCCGATCGCGTTTACATCCCGACGCACAGTAAGACAAAATCGAAAACAGTAATATTCACAAAATTCGAGCACGTTTCATAATTTTATGTTCAGCTGAAAATATTCGCGTTTAGTGGTTTATGCATCCAGAATCAAATTGGATATTGAATTCACTTTTTACCTACATTAAATGCAAGTAAAACAAAGGATGAATTCATCTTAAACACGAACTGAAGTTAATAATACAATCAAGAGAGAACCAGCGTTAAGGAATGTGAGTTAAGACGCGTCCTTTAAATATTTATTAATCACTTATCTGTCCGTGTAATTTGGAATTTGCACTGTTTGTTTAATTTTACTTTATGTGCATAAATAGGAGTCCCAATTTAACACATCTCTACAGAATCCGACTGGAACACATAGCGATCATAAGCTTCATCGACATTTACATACACATTGTTAACGAAGACGGCAGTATTGAACTATCGTTGTGTGCGCACCCTCGAGTTCGTGTGTGTTAATTTAATTCTAATCACCGGGCACACCATCGTGTGTTGTTATATCCGGTATCATCGTAGAGGATGTCAGCGGGTTTTGAAAATCAAATGATATCGAACATGGAGAGTTCGTAGACATATGGACACCGAATACCATAGCGTTAATTTACGACCTAAAGAAACAGAAGTACATCAAAATATCATTTAGATACCTCGGAAATATAAATAACCGTCATATATTGGGACTTCGGAACTTAAATTGCAACTCTGCAAAAAAGTTATAGTCTGGAACGTAATACTGATTGGTAATGTACATATCCTGTGTTCGATGTCCATATCCTGTGTTCGTATTGTAATATATCTTGTTGCGTACATATTTCATATCTATTCTTTTCGTTCTTGGCTTCTTTTTTATTTAATTAGTTGGCAATAGTTGTTTCATGCGTTGGTCTTTGATACACAATTATATCAGAAATTTATCTGTCAATATCGACATGATTCTATGTCTTGTCTTACCCGCGGATATCCAATTTGGCCAACTGTGGCAGTATCTGAGCATTCGAATCTCAAAGGCCGGTCACATTGGGTGGCCCCTCACGTAAACATATACGTCACTACATGATTTCTTTCCAAGTCGCACGAATGTAACCGCGGGTCTTTGCATTGCGACATAAATAAAACAACATTGGATTGCGATTGATTCCACGTTGAAATCAATTAATTTGTATTGATGCTGTAAACTATAATTTCTTCACATCGAATCAAGAAATGGGAAGCTGATCATTTCCAGTTATATGTATTTTCGTAAATATTAAACGCAACGTCTGAAAATCAAATCAGTCCTGGCCATTTATTGTAATATGCGTTTTTATAGGTCAAGGGTTAAACGAGAGAACAGACTCGATATTCGTTAGGTGTCATCATTTTGTTTAAAAAGCAAGGCACAGTGCACGGATTGTTTATTTCGATATCCAAATCGAAATCTCACTAACTATCCCAATTCTTAGCCTGCCGACGCATGCCAACGCCTGCCGATGCTTAGAGACAAAAAAAATATTTGCTAAAAGCAACTCCAAGGGACTATGTCACTTTAATTCGCGCTTGGATAACATATTTTAATTGCATATGTTTGTTGCCACAGTAACTACATTCAGAATAGCAAATGAACGTATGGGTGTAGGATTTAGGAACACCCTGATTAGTTCTCGCCAGTGGCGTAAGAGAACATTACACAAACGGCGGGATTCTTGTAATCTTATATTATTGCTACAAAATGTGACGGGTATTTTTAGTGTTTGATGTTTTACAATACATATGACGTGGCTTGCTCGTTGCTAATGCCTATAAACAAAGTTCACACCGTCAGAATTATTTGATATCACGTAAAACTGAGCTTATTTCATGCAAGTAGCGTTTGTTCGGTCGATATTTTGAACAGGGTTTTTGCCTATATATGAAATAGGAACCGCGTCGAGAGTTCCCCGTGCAAATAACATCATATGCCATCTCGTGGTGTAGCGCTCGTGACGTCACATATCAACGATGTGCCACAGTACAGCGCAATGTAGACGACTCATACACATGCTGGTAGTGTGACTTGTTGCCGTGGAAACACGAACACCGTGCTTTCATCGTCATGCTTCCGTGCGGTAGATTTTTTGTATGTGTACATTAGTACAATTATCTTAATACAATTCACGCCGCGTTGTCCGCTAGTTGGTATTCACAGCTACATTCTATCAAATAACCAGAAGAAAAAAAAAACTATCCCACGAGTATGAATTTGAACACACAGCGTGCGAGAGGAACTTCCCGGGGTCATGGTACAGTTTCAGGCTGCTTGGCATTGCACTTGTCTTGTTCCTGTCATGCAACATTCATCATTACAATAAACTGCGATCAATTCTCAAACATTGTATGAGACAACAAGCGATCGGTGTCCCTGGTCGGAATGACACCGCTGACGAAATGATTAAAATCATAATCCACTTACTAAGCCTGTGCATACCATGGTGTATCGTCAGCAGCTGCGTACGGATGTACCTCTTTTGGTAACACATTAAAAATAACTAATTGTTGGGTATTTTATGCAACGAGCGGCGAATAGGTCGCGCGTGGATTCATAGGTTAATGTAGGAATTGTGTATATTGTGGAACACCTTCTATAACGAGCTCAGTATAACGCGTTTCTGCGCGCCAATATACATTGATGCAGATGAGTGGAATGCCGTTCATTTGACATGATTGTTTCTGACAACGCGGCGTAGAGGATCAGTTCCATTTACACAATCGCTATTCACTCGCGCTTTAAGTTAGTTTCGTCGCCGTTACAATGTACTCATTATATCAAAAACGGAGAACGACGCAGAAAAGCATTCCTGGAAAGGGGAGGGGGGGCAGCCACAATCCAATTACAATATGGGTAAGCATACTTTTATAGCGAGCGGATATAGGTAATTCGTTCTCTATGGTAGCGCGCGTCTCAATCTTACTGAGTGTTTATGTGTCTCGACATACATCGCATTCGTGCCGTACAAGTTACTGTCTCAAGTGTCGGAAATGCATCGATACGCAAAGTATTGTGGGATACATGTGTGTAAATGTGACTCGTTTCGTAAAGGTTTGCACAATTGCTGATTGCGATACCTGTTTCATTTTATTTTAATGATGCATCAACCTTATTAACGAGGGATGGTTGAATGAGATCGTCTGTGACGTTTCGTGCAGCTTGTGTTTGATCTTACGCTTCATTAGCCACCGCTTTAATGCGACGCTTCATCGCACCCAGCGTTTTTTTATATTTTTTTAAAACCTGTGTCATAAGATTATAGCTAGCACTCAAGAAACAAGTTCAATGGATTAGAAATAAAAATAGAATACGGCACTACATGACGTTCTTAATATTATCAGCAGGAACAAAGGACGATGTATTAAAATTCCATTGAACCCGTTCCGGTGGCCAAGGTTTCAAAACTGTGAATCACGATGTGAAACTATGATCTGTATCTGAGAGATACTAGAATTCTGCCAATAATATGCGTACACTACGTTTATATTACATATTTTTGCTTTGACTTTTACATTTTATATATATATATATATATATATATATATATATACGTTAACATTAAGCGATGTGGATGCTAGAATAAGATATACAGTAGTGACGTAAGAAATATAGTAGCTTCTATCACTTTGAAGAGAAAACCTTTGCCTCGGTCATGGAAACGGCCACAGCGTAAACTGAATGAAAACCAACCAACAGTGCAGCTTATCCCACCCCGTGCATTTTCCATCACGCCCAACAAGACGTTCCCTTGTCCCATGTTGCATCTTTAACATGTACAGTAGCGCACGAGGTCGTGGTTTCATTGATAAAAGAGATGACCGTGCATAAAGGTCAAGGGCAATGTCAGTTGAACATTTCACCCGTAAACTTAAGTTTGGCATTGACTGATTGACGAATGGCGTTCATGATAAAAAAAAAAAACACGTTCGTTATCCTGGCGTTGTGGAGCTGTACTCTAATTTCCGTCGGTGGATTTTATGTTTTTGATGTGTACTACTACTAATGAAGATGTATCTACAATGTGCTAGTCACGTTTAACCCACTTGTTTCACTTGCGCGGGTGACTCCTGAAACTAAAACCACAACTAAAATAAACTAAAAACCACTACAAAACAGTTTTTTACATTCTTGGCATGGTTTTGTGTGGCGGGGTACCAAACATATCATCATTCATCGTAAGTCTATATAATTCTAGTCAGCGTCACAGTTTGACACCCAAATCACCACTCGCAGTAGCTACCACTCGACGCTTGTCTCTGGCGTTGGTACAAATATCTGCATTTTACGGTCGAACCGACATTCATAATCCGCAAAACCCGGGTGTTGTGAAAAACCTCGCGTGGAACTATGATGTAACACGGGTCACTAGTCTTTCGCGACGGCATTCAAGTAATAGACCTTTTTCGAGTCAGAGTGTCCTGGACTTAGTT